AGAAATTTGTCAACCTGGCCTTGGGGATCTAGGCAGACTACCTTTTCTTAAGACGCTATCACATTTTTATTTGAAGAAATTTTCACCATCCGGGGATGACGGGCAGGCATTCACACATTCATATTACAATACTGTGCCATCAATATCTATACATTCAAGATTTTTCTTTTTACTTCCACCTCTATAAAAGACTGATTAGGTATCTTACAATTACCTGTCTATGTAGGGTGTATATAAAGGCTTTGCCTGTTGTCTAATACCCTTTGTCAATTATTATAACCCATGCACCAAAGTTATAATGTGTTTGACCAGTTCGTCAGTCCTGCTCACAAAAGTTCTTTAGTTATAAATAAAATACTACAAATTGCCTGTCTGTTTCATAACTAGGATACCATTTCTTTAACTAAACATGAACTGATTTTGTCAAATCACATTTGCAGTCTAGCCTTCTATGCATCTGTATCAACCTTTGCCCAACTGCCACTATGCATTTGTGTCCCCACTTGTATTGATATTAACATATTTGTGTAAGTGTATAGCAGATAATTACACGTCATTAATTTATGCCTTATAAATTTTGAAATAAACATAATAAGTTGGTATTTACATATTTTATTTTGTTTTGTGATATTTTGTTTAACTATTATTCAAATTAGAAACAATATAATACATAAAAAGATAGATTCTAGCTGCAGACTTTAACTTCATAGAAGGTCAAATAGACTCCAATAACATAAGTTATAAATGAAACAATATGTAACTAAAAATTCAGAAGTATCAAAGATATCTTAAAAAAAATGTGTTTAGAGAAATACATAAAGATAATAATTTCACGTGAGCTGCATCGATTAGAAATCAACCTTATGCAAGTGCATGTATACATGTACATGTATAAGACTTTGATTGATTTTGGAACATTCAAATAGAAACAAAAGATAAATTTGGTCTGTTTTGTAGGGTTCTTATATTAACTCAATTTTTAAACAGTTGCAGACTTTGCATAGAGACTTTACAACCCGAAATAAGTTAACAGATGTATTGATATTCATTTGTATACAGTCGATTTCTATCCAACGCAGCTCACATGTTACAACATTTTGGTCACTTAATTCGAATTGACGAGTTTGAGCTGATATTGAGATGAATTATTCGTAAAACAAAAGAAATAAAACATAACGCTCTTCCTAATAGAGACAAAATTATAATAATTTCTCCACTAAATGCTATTTTAGTCTTTCCAAACTACAATTCTCTAGAGAAAATATTAATGAATTCATAAGATTAAAAATAAAATATCAAAACTCATTTGTATGAGAAATAAATTTTGTTTTTAAGATACCTTGTGAACTTTTCCCAACCATCAATTTATTTGCATGTTCAGTTTGGCAACTTTAAGTAAAATATTAATTCGTTTGGTTTGAGACCTCACCTTCTTATTATTTAAATTTAGTAAATACATGTACTAATTATAGTTAACAAAATATCTTATACTTATATTTATTCTCATGTGTTAACAGTTTAATTTTCTTTCTGTGCATACTTATATGACACACTATAAAAACTTCTCACTATTAACGTTTTATACAGAGGTTTGCATTTGATACTTAAAAATTCCTGCTTGTGTTAATTATTACTTGTAAGTTATATTACCACTTTATGTTTGATCAAATATCTTATATTTTGCATTGTGTATTTAAATGGTTTTTTCTTTCAAATAAACCCTTGGGTGCTTATGAAAATAGAAAGAAGAAAAGAAAACTTGAAAATATTAAAAAAAATATTGAAATTGAAAACTAAGTTAATGGTATTTGTTTTAAAAATAATCCTAACATTGTAGATATCTTTTATAACTTCAAAATGTTTTTTTATTAGATCAAAAGTGCAGTTTTACTGATGATTTATTTAACATTTCATATTTACAGTGGTTCCCAAGGCTTTGAGAACTCAACTGGACATTTGCTCCAGTAAACCGTTCTCCTTAACTGGACCAGACTCTTTTTTTACAGGACATTTACACATATGATTTGGACAAAATTAAAAGTTTTACAGGTAATTTGGTCCAGTAATGCATATCATTTAACTGGACCAAACCAATTTTTACTAGACTTTGCACAATGTACGGTGACTTGGGAATGACTGCACATGTGTATTTACATTTATAAATTTGATAACAACTACTAGTATGCTCATGAAATAAATAATTCTAATTTTATATTGTAAAACAAACAATTACACATAGTTTATGTAAGAACATTTTTAAAACACCATTAAAATAATGTTGGACAATTAGAACTTTTGATGTGGAACAATCAGAACTAAACTTTTAAAAAGTGGGACAATCGGGGATAAACCATATCAAACATATTTGCCCTAGGATTAATTTAAGACTAAAGGTCAACAAGAAAAGTTTTAGACAAGAAATGAGCTGTAAAATTGACAGCAAACCAGGTTTCCTGTATTTGAAGGTAACTATTGTTGAATTTAAAAGGGCAGCTAGAACGAATGAATTGACATATTCCAATGTATAGGGCTTTAAGGCTTGTTGACTTGACAGAATCTCTTTGTGTCTGTCCAATCATAAAGTGATATTTTCCAATCTATCAAGAACCACTCCTGAACCGTTAAGTGAATTTCGTCAATATCAAAATTAACCTCCATTTTGTCATCAGTTACAACATATTTAAATTTGAAAAGCATTAGTTGAACTGTTTATAAGTTATTGCATGGATATGACTTTTTTTCCAATCTATCAAGGACCATAACTCCTGAAGTGCAAAAGTGAAAATGATTAATATCAAACTTGACCTTCGTTGTTGTCAGTAACAACATATCAAATTTGAAAAGCATTGGTTGAACTGTTCATAAATCAATTATTGCACAAAAACAAAATAAAGTGCCATTTTCCAAATTTTAATGTGTTATTACTAATGGAAATATGGAGGTCAAGATTGATATTGATGATTTTCACTTTTTCCATTCATGTGTTGCGGTCCTTGAGAAATTGGAAAGCATTGGTTAAATGTTTCATAAGTTATTACAGGCAAACTGTCGACAGCTCCCCCTACACTTGACATTTTTAATAACCAGATGTTTTCTTCCAAAAACCCAGTTAAAAACTTATACTTCCTCCTTATTTTCATTTTCATATACCACGGTATTTGAGCCTGAACTTGCAGACAAACAATTTTCAATCTAATTATTAATTGGTGGTAGTCTGACAACAAAAAACAGCTGTGCCAAGAGCACATTATGTGCATGATACCCCCTTTATGTGCATATTGAAATTGTTGCAAAAATAAAATGGGATAATTAAAAGGTATCTAATCAGAAGAAAATAAAATGGCTCTGTAGAAAAACATGCATGAGGATATCTATAGGCATATAAGTATTGTATCAATTATGACTGTTAAAACTCTGGAAAGACAAAGCAGAACATTTTTCCAATCCCAACCAATCCCAACAACAGTGTAAAGTTTGTAGTAATGTGATCCAAGCATGACATTTAAAAACGCCCTAAATTTATCTGACTGTCAAGGTCTTATAACTCTGAAAAGACATATCAGATTTTTTTAAAATCAAATGGTGTGTTATATCTCCGGGTGCTGGATTTTCTCGCTGCGTTGAAGACCTATTGGTGGCCTTCGGCTGTTGTCTGCTCTTTGGTCGGGCTGTTGTCTCTTTGACACATTCCCCATTTCCATTCTCAATTTTATTATGTTCACCAATTCTAACAATAATGTACAATTGTCAGTAAATCAATCCAAACAAACACATGTTATAGTACAACATGTGAAAAATTTAATTATATCTGACAATTAAAGTCCTGTAACTCTGGAACAGATACACAGAAATTTAAAAATCAAAAGGAAGCTTCCTTATATCAATCCCAACAATAACATGTGATTTTTCATAGCATTTCCATGGGAACCAAATGGAAATGATGCTACCACTTTTGTCTTGTAATCAATATTAAATAAAGATGGTTTTTTGAGGTTTTTCAAATCTTATTTCCTTTAAAATTTCACCTTGTATCAGATGAATTTCTTTTTCAAAATTTGGGCATTCAGAATTAAAGATTGCCTTTGACATCAATTTTTTATCCAATTTCAACAAAATGAGGGAATTTTATTGGACAATCCATAAATTATGACTGTAAATGTTGGTTCTCGTTGGTGTGTTCTAAGAAGATGTTGAAGATGTCGATTTTCTGACAATAGACTTGACAAGTATGTAACCAACCATTTCACTTGAAAATATGTAAATTTCAGTAATTTTATGAACAGTTTTCCACACAAGTTGTAGTTACAGAGATTAGTTCATTGATAGCTGACATCCAGTGTCAAACACTACATGCATATTGATTAATTTTTTGCCCTACCTACCTACCATAGTTATGTTAAAAATGTCTGGATCCTTTTATCCATCCAATATCAGATATTATATTTGGTTTTAAGTAGTTCAGCATGAATTTGTGGTTACAACTTGAAACTTGTTCATTATGATGTGAACTTTAAAAAAAAAAAGGAGTTTAGATCAAAATTTCACAGTTCTCTAAACATGGAAATGGTTGATTGATTGATTGATTGGTATTAAACGTCACTTTCAGCACTATTGTGCTATTTCTTGGCTGTCAGTTTTTATTGGTGAAGGAAGCTGGAGTGCCCTGAGAGAACCACCAACCTTCAGGAGGAAAACTGACAATCCTAGTCAATTAAGATTGGAGTCGAGTGAACCTTCCAAGTCAGGATTCCAACTCACAACCTCAGTGTTGACAGGATAGTGATACAGTAGTTCGAATACTTCGGCCACGGAGGCCCCAACATGGAAATGTGAAAGTAAGAGCAGGGCATTATATTCTATGGGCACATATTCTTGTTATTTATTGTTTTTTTTAAATGATATTTAGGGATTGAGATTGATGATACAGTTTCTCTCTTTCAGATTTCTAATTTGACCTAATCTATTATATCATGTTAACAATTCCGCTGTAAGTTTCTTACCATGAAGTTTCAACATAATATTCATTGGTGATCCACCTATTACATCATACTTCTGAAGGTCAACTTTCTCTGCAGATATCTTGGGTGTGATTTCATGCTTAAATTTAGAATCTGAAAAAATAAAGAATGATAAATAGAAAGTATTATCTCTATATCAAAGTCTGTAAAACAACCATGATCATCTTACTTTACTTTTCTTGAATTTCTTCTTCTTTTTTGTTGTTGATATATCGGATATTCTTTCAATTAAATCTGGATTCATTTATAGTGTTTTATGGGTTCACCTTTTCTGTTTAAAGTTCCACCTTAAACAAAACAAATATATATCTGGACCTATTTTGCATGGTTCTGTTTCAAAGAATAGCCTTTAGAGCCATAAAGATTGGAAAATCCTTGAGTGTAAGAATTTGTTCAATTGGTCCAACCAATAAAAATGCAAGAATATGGTAGTTAAAAAATTCTCATATTAAAAAGTGGTTTTATTTTTATAGCACTGAAGCTAAATATATCTAATTATATTGTGATTTGCATGTTGTGTAGGTTTTGTCTCTCATATTGGTAGGTATATGAAATTCTATATAGTTATAATTGAGAAAGTCAAGAACAAAGTTTTTGTTCTAAACACAGATGACAAAATACTGTTTTTTATCTTATAAATAAGGGTTCATTTTATTTTAAAGTTATTTATTACGAGTATTACAGATGACCTAAACATAGTGCCCTCTTTAGCATTCAATGACAAAATTGACTTCAGGTCCACACAAGGGAAACTGGAGAAATAAATTCTAATAAGTCAAAATAAGATATAAACATCTTCAATCTACTAATCTATGTTGAAAGAAAATGGTTGGAGTTGGAATGCCACAACGTAAATACCCTCTTTTCAGACAGACCAACAGATGGACAGTTAGTGTCGAGAGGTTACTAAACCTGCTATAGTGAATTTTACAAGTATCAGGCATTTTACCAATAGCTTGAGAATATTGAATGTAACAGTGTGTGAATAATAACTCTTATAGAAATATGTTCCAGTAGCAAGTAACACAAAACATTATCAAGAGGTACTGGATACATTTTAGTTGCTTTCAAGTGATATTAATTCTAGACAAAATCAGATTTAAAACAAAACAGGAGAGCTTCACAATTTATGAGGAAATTGATCATCCTTTTCGTTAAACTGACAAATCTTCTTCTCTTCTTGCTTCACCATAGAATAATTATGACATTGAATTTAAGTGTAAGTTAAAATTTGTATAATCTAGTGGATAGTTCACGGTAACTGGTCCTGGTACCCATCAAATATCATGTCACAATCAAGACACTAGTAATCTATATTTCATTAATAAATAGAAGGATAAAAAGTATAAGTAAGCTTATAGTGCTACCCTTCATATATCATTTTTCTTAGTGAGTCCATGGAGTTAAAAGGTAAATTTTACTTACTACTACTTTGATCCCACTTTCCTTTTCCAAAGAACATATACCAGTCTTTTTCAAAATTAATTCCTGCTGCATTACTCTTCTCAGCATCAAATGAACACATCAGAATCCCTGCAGAGTAACTATTTGCTTTTACTGTAATCCAGGGATCTAACTGGAAAAATGAATTCTAGTTCAAAAACAAAATTGTTCTATTTTTCAATGAATATCAGAATCTACTAATAAAAACTTGACCAAAACAATACTGGTTTCGTCTTAAACTTTACAAAAATAACTGATGGTTTCGAGGTGTCGTCCTTGAAATAATCTGTGGCTTTACTCTTAAATTTCAATCGGACAAATAACCAATTCAATTCTAATGGTATAATCTATAACACAAATCTGGACTTTTAATAGTACTTGTGTTTATATTATTCAAAAATGAGATTGCTTCACGAGAAAAATATAACCAAATATAATAAAACAATTCTGCTTCTATTGGGAACAAGTAGAATACATTTAATTGAAAATGACCTCACAATATTTTTTGGGAAAACATAGTTTTATATGAAATATTATATATAACAAAAAATTTTAGGTGTTGAATACCAATTGCAAAACAAGATGTTATAACATTCATTTAAAGAGGGTCCCTACTACAAAATTGAGAAAGTAAAAAGATGCAGGAAAAGTTGAATGCATATTAAAAAATTCTCTTCTTCTCACTATAATTATCAAATATAGTTAAAACCATTTTATCTGGGTGTTTTATTATATAAAGTTTCAGTGTCAAATGATAATTATACTTACATTAGCTATTGCACTATTGCTTTTACCCATTGTTTGTGGACCTTTGTACAAAGACCAGACTACCTATAGTTACACAACTAGATATTTCTACTTACATGAGTTATTGCGCTATTGCTTTTCCCATTGTTTGAGGACCTTTTTACAAAGACCGGACTACCTATAGTTACACAATTAGATATTTCTACTTACATGAGCTATTGCACTATTGCTTTTCCCATTGTTTGAGTACCTTTTTACAAAGACCGGACTACCTATAGTTACACAATTAGATATTTCTACTTACATGAGCTATTGCACTATTGCTTTTCCCATTGTTTGAGGACCTTTTTACAAAGACTGGACTACCTATAGTTACACAATTAGATATTTATGAGGTTAGGGGACGGATAGGGGTCTCTGATTTCCACTTCTCTACCCCCAGTTCCCATTTCCCTTCCCACTCTACTACCAATTCCCTCCCACCTTACTTCCACTTCCCTCCCCCTTGCTCCCAGATGAAAATCGTTCAAAATTTTTTTCAGAATATACCCATTTTTACTCACCCTCTTCCCTGGTTCCAGCCCCTAAATCGCACTTACCGCCCCCTCATTCCCATCTTCCCTTACCCCTGTCCAACCCTCAATTCTACTTACTGGAGATATTTGAGTATTGTATTTGCCTGGGTTTGTGGACCTTTGTACAAAGACCTGACTACCATCAGTTATACAATCAAACACAGTGTCTGATCCCTGAATAATAAAAACATGCATGTTAACAATTGGTAAATATATATATTAAGAAATTCCACTTAAGACTTCATTGAATATTTTCTTTCACTTATTGATCCATGAGGATTTCTTATGGACACAAGAACTATATAGTTAATATTTATAGTTATAGAAAGGTCCTTGATAAGTTGAAGCAGACCCTGACTTATTCTTTTAATTCAAAATTATACGGTGGATAAGAGAGAAAATACACCAAAAATTAATCATATACACAGATGAAAAAGTAAACAATGCAATACAGTATATAGTGCCATACTGTTATCAAAACCTTTCACCTCTTTGAACTATGTACCAGTATATGTTCGACGGGGTATTTAGTTAAATATATTATTAATCAAAATAAAATCACTATCAGACGTATGCATCCTATGGGGCACTGATAAGGGAAACTCCACAACATACAAAGGTGGTGTTGGATTACAGCTGGGGCATGTCTGCCTCTCGGATGTCAGTCCATATTTGGTCAAGAGACTGACTGAAACCAATGGGAAGGTGGTTCTCATGTTGACCAGTCACATGACTTTTTAAGAAATTGTTTGAAACAAAGTGTGCTCACTTCACTTTCAATTTGGCGTGGCTGTAAGCAGCAAAGTTTTCAGCAGAAACTATTTTTGAGTTATTTTAACATACAGGAATCTTAAGCATTCATAAATGATATGTAAGTCTAGAACATTTTCCTACTATGGCCGCTGTTTTGGAACAATTTAAACTTTTATTGGGAATTCCAGAGTGGTTCCGTCTGTCCCAGGAAGAAATTTCATCATTGGATTACTACCTGACCGAAACAGAGAACGATCTTTCTCGGGCTTTGTGGTCTTTAAAACTAGACTGTGCCACTTGTTGCATGGGATGCATACTGTAAATTCAGAAATTATTGCGTGCATTTATTATTGTAATTTTGTCTTTTTAGACTAAAATGCGATTTAAATTTTTGCGATATTGAGAAAAATCCTGTTAAATTCATATCAAAAATTTCAAAATGCGAGTTTAAATTATTGCGATTATAACCCTGTCGCATTTTTCTCAATAATAAAAACATCGCAATAATTTCTGAATTTACAGTATTTTGCAACACAAATGCTATTTTGCCGATATGTGTAACATGTAAACAGCCTCGCGCCGATTAAGAGATTCTGTTTTACAAGGAGCTAAGAGGGTACTTGGCACTGTTAGTAATAGGAAATTACCCATTACACCATCTATTCTACAACGCATTTTTACCACAATTAACTTTTCATGTTCTGGGGACTTGGCCTTTTTTTCCCACCCACCTCACCTCTATTATCTTAGGAGGATTGTACTCTCTTGAATAAAGACTAAGACTGTTAACTTCACCATGAATGTCAATTAGAAATGAAATGGGGTTCATGCCATTATCTTAGAAGGATTGTACTCTCTTGAATATAGATATGACCAGGCTGGACCACATGTCAATTGGTGGGGTGCTAGATGACATTCTGTGGCCCAGCTCTGATCATATTATTCTGCAGGGGAACTAACTCAGAGCTTTGGGTTGGTAGAGCATTAGGTCCAGCTTTCTTTGGCAATCAATTAATAATCAATAAAACACTAAGTTGGATGTTCATATATTAATTATTCACACAACAGATATATCATACACATGTACATAGCATGTATTTGACTTGAACAACTCTAAGTCACCTTATTTTGATACAATCCTTAATCTCGTAAACTTCACGTCTAAAGAGTTCATAGCAATATTTTTTTGGAATATCACTTTTTTCAGTGCTATCTTATTATTCTCAGCCCTTAACTGCCCTTTCAAATAAAAATCATTCATTTTATATTATTAACAACCTAACCAATCAATATACATTACTCCCGAAAAGGGAAGGGTTATTCTTTTAATTTCACTTATTGAGCTATGTTCCCTTAGATAACCTTTTTATCACTAACACTGTTAAACTAAAGGATTAATTATGTAAGAAATTAAAACATCTATATCTTATCTAAAATAGGAACTAGCTTATTAGCTTACAAGTGCTAGTTCTTTGTTATTTGACTGACAATCAATTTCTTGTTCATCTTTTAAAGGTGATAAAAACAATTTCACAATTTTACCCAAATACCCTTATCCAGTATAATTTATATTGAATGCCAAATTATGACATTTTTGATACATGTAAAAAGTAGTAACAAGTTACTACTCAGTTTTGACATATTCGTCGCAAGTACTGAAATTTAGCATGATAAACTTAGGAATATACAGATTTATTAAACACATTCATATAAAATTATTGCCAATGAAAATGATGTTTTTTTTGTTGGTGATATAGACTCAGACTGTTAACCTCACCATGAATGTCAATTAGAAATTAAATGGGGTTCATGTAATTATCTTAGAAGGATTGTACTCTCTTGAATATAGACTCAAGACTTCTAACCTCACCATGAATGTCAATTAGAAATTAAATGGGGTTCATGTCATTATCTTAGAAGGATTGTACTCTCTTGAATATAGACTCAGACTGCTAACCTCACCATGAATGTCAATTAGAAATTAAATGGGGTTCATGTCATTATCTTAGAAGGATTGTACTCTCTTTTGATAATAGAATCAGACTGCTAACCTTACCATGAATGTCAATTAGAAATGAAATAGGGTTCATGCCAATATCTTAGATGGATTGTACTCCTCTCTTGGAGAGTAATTAAACTTTACCATTTTTACATTCTTCAAAGTTGTGTTTTAGAAACTGATCAAGGGTCTATGCCACTATCATTACCATGGTACAGCATATAAGAGTTCCATGTTTAATGAAGTTAAAATACATGTATATGTTCAACTTTTTACATACATATTGATAGGTTTAGTTTACATGATATAAACTTTTACCATTTTGTCATCACTGGACAAAGCCACAGAAATCCAGTCACCACCACTAGACAATGAAGCCAATGAAGCCTTCATGCTAATCTCGATCTTTGTTCCTATCTCTCTCCATGTAACTTCAAATGTACAATCCCCTGAACAATCACTATAGCATCCTACACTTGATCCACAGTCTGTATTCTTTTTAAATGCGACCTATGATAAAAGTGCTGTTTTAATCACTGCAGACAGTAATTTAACATTCTCAAATATATATTTCTCACATCTATAAGGATTTGAATATTTGGACCATTGGGTGTCATTGAATGTAAAGTGATTAGGTCTATTCATAAGCACATCTCCATGCATACTTTTGTCAACCTAAGTGGAAGTGTAACAAACAAATATTTGCAATTGTTTCTGGTGACAGGAAGTAATGCTCCTCTCTCCTTCAAGGACTTTCATGGATCTCTCGAAACAAATATAATGCTCTTTGTTTAAATTCTTGAACACATTGGTCATTCAATAAACTTGTAGAAGTTATTATGTATTGTTCAAATGTAGCTAGTCTGTCATTTTTAATTTGTATACAATATATATTCAAAAGTTTTCTTGACTAAGTATTATTTAGTACTTGACATTTTGTTTCTAGACACATGTCTCTTAGACCTTATGTTGACCTTTAGATGTCTTTTGTATCTAGACACCTGTCTCTTAGACCTTATGTTGACCTTTAGATGTCTTTTGTATCTAGACATTTGTCTCTTAGACCTTATGTTGATATTTAGATGTCTTTTGTATCTAGAAACCTGTCTCTTAGACCTTATGTTGACCTTTAGATGTCTTTTGTATCTAGACATTTGTCTCTTAGACCTTATGTTGACCTTTAGATGTCTTTTGTATCTAGACACCTGTCTCTAAGACCTTATGTTGATATTTAGATGTCTTTTGTATCTAGACACTTGTCTCTTAGACCTTATGTTGACCTTTAGATGTCTTTTGTATCTAGACACTTGTCTCTTAGACCTTCTGTTGATATTTAGATGTCTTTTGTATCTAGACACTTGTCTCTTAGACCTTCTGTTGATATTTAGATGTCTTTTGTATCTAGACACCTGTCTCTTAGACCTTATGTTGACATTTATATGTCTTTTGTATCTAGACACTTGTCTCTTAGGCCTTATGTTGATATTTAGATGTCTTTTGTATCTAGACATTTGTCTCTTAGGCCTTATGTTGATATTTAGATGTCTTTTGTATCTAGACACCTGTCTCTTAGACCTTATGTTGATATTTAGATGTCTTTTGTATCTAGACACTTGTCTCTTAGACCTTATGTTGATATTTAGATGTCTCTTGTATCTAGACACTTGTCTCTTAGACCTTATGTTGACCTTTAGATGTCTTTTGGGTTCTGTTTCGTTAGGTTGTGTTACATTGACATATACCCATACATCTCCTTTTATTGATTGATTGATTGTTGTTTGCTATACATTCAATGGCAAAAATATCATGCATGTTCAGGACAAGAAAAAAATAACAATAAATACAATATGTAGGTTCTGCAATAAGGGGTTGACCAGGATGGAGGCAGGAAATTTGGAATGCCACTGGAAAATAAGGGTATATTGGATAGGGACAGAATACTTTTATTGACATGGGGCCAAAGAATAATAGGACATAATCAGTGAGTTTGAATGACCATATGCATGTATCACTTTTTTGTATTAAACTTAATCAAACCACAACAGCAAAGAATTAAAAACTTCTGAAGAGTAAAGGTGAAATAAGCAAATGTAAATAAGTAAAAAACATTAATAAACTGTTGAAACAGAGATATGTCTCGATAAAATTCAGAAAGACAATCTGATGGACAGCAACATTGCTTATTTATTAATTCAGTCACTGGACCATGATCTAGTGGGCAGGGCCTGAAAATGGTCGACAAACTGAGATGTACAGACAGTAATGTAACTTTATAGAAAATATAGTTGTTTATTGTAAATAGTTCCTTTCAATATAACTTAAGCAGAAAAACTTAACATTGAAAATTGCTAATTAATTCAAAGTCACTGGACCATGTCCTAGGGGGCAGGGCCTCAAAATAGTCGTCAAACTGATATGTACTGATAGTAATGCGACTTCATACAAAATATCATTGATCTATCACCAGTAGATCCTATCAAACTTACTTAAGCGGAAAACTTAACATTGAAAATTGCTAATTAATTCAAAGTCACTGAACCATGTCCTAAGGGGCAGGGCCCAAAATAATCGTCAAACTGATATGTACTGATAGTAATGCAACTTCGTAGTAAATATCAATGATCTATCACAAGTAGTTCCTATCAAACTAACTTAAGCAGAAAACTTAACAATTGTTGACGCCGGAGCAAGAGCCATGGTCGTCGCTGGAAAAGCAATCGCTATGTCTTGCTTTCCGTGACTGTCATCACAGGCAAGACAAAAATTGATATGTTAACTGCTTTCAGTATTGAAATGATTTTTTAATGAATTCTTAATCATTAATGATAGCAAATAGTCATAATATACCTCCCCCCATTGTGTTCTGATCGATGCTATGCTTTTGCGCCAAAAAAATCTTTCATTTGTGCCACAAACCATATTTCATTTGCGCCAAAAATACAACATTGCATTTGCGCCAAAAATAAAACATTTCATTTGCGCCAAAAATAAAACATTTCATTTGCGCCAATAGTAAAGGTTAATAAAGATAAATAGTATAAAACTAGATTTATTCCAAAGAAACTTTTAATAATAACTTTAAAACACAGTTTTTGTTTGCATAATAAAACATATTTTAGCAGAAATTAGTCATTATAAAACCATAATGAATGCCCTATACACCGATAAGTTGCACTAGTAACCATGGTTGTGTTCGTTCAAAGTTGTAAAAAAAATCTTATTCTCGATACAGCAATGAATATTTAAAGTTTTCCGTTATATGTTACCTGTAAAATGGTGCAAATGTAGTTGTATTTTTTTACGCAAATGAAACATAACCTTGTGGTGCAAATGAAAGATTGGATTTTGTAAAAATTGGTGCAAATGTAATGCGTCCATTCTGATTGTATTTAACTCTAAATTAATCAAGACTCACTAAAGATTTACTCAGTATACAAAATGCCAGTAAGTAATATACAAATCTTCCCATTGTTTATACCTGAAATTATAAAGAAAATATCCAAATGAATAAGATTATCACTTTGTGGTAATGTAACCTGTAATTCTTTTTCATATGAAACATAAAGCTCACAGCAATATGATATCAAGAGGTATGGTTATACATGCTTGGTTACGACAGTGCTTCTGTAATTTTACTAGATAATTATCATATTGAAGGTTAAATGTACAAATTTTTGGCTGCTGCAAGCAAAGAAAAAATAGACAAGTAAAAACAAAGCCTTTGATACTGTATATCTAGAATGATTCAAATTGTTAAAAGTAACAACCTATGACATTTAACTGATAGTAATTTCTTAAAGTGGAAAATACAATCTGGATATGAATAAAATAGGATTAGACAGCAATCAAATCTAAAATATTTTAAAGAAATCTAGAAGACAACAACATTGTACAGTCTTCTAACTATCAATAGGTGTCTACAATATGTTATGCCGTAAATCAGTCTGAGTCTAAAAAAGTTGTGCAAAACTTAAACAGAAACAACCATAAAATATCTGCCATCAAAAACAATTCTCAAAATATAAAAAACATATTCTAAAAAAAAACATAAGACAACCATTGACAACACAGTGGTATTGACAAACATGCATGGTCACAGCTATATGATTATACATGTATGGTCACAGTGGTATGGTGACCATGGTCATACATGTATGGTCAGAGTGGTATGGTCATACATGCATAATCACAGCAGTATGGTCAAACATGTACATGTATGGTCATAGTGGTATGGTCATACATGCATGGTCACAGTGGTATGGTCATACATGCATAATCACAGCAGTATGGTCAAACATGTACATGTATGGTCACAATGGTATGGTCATACATGCATGGTCAGAGTGGTATGGTCATACATGCATAATCACAGCAGTATGGTCAAACATGTACATGTATGGTCACAGTGGTATGGTCATACATGCATGGTCAGAGTGGTATGGTCATACATGCATGGTCAGAGTGGTATGGTCATACATGCATGGTCACAGCAGTATGGTCAAACATGTACATGTATGGTCACAATGGTATGGTCATACATGCATGGTCAGAGTGGTATGGTCATACATGCATAATCACAGCAGTATGGTCAAACATGTACATGTATGGTCACAATGGTATGGTCATAAATGCATGGTCACAGCAGTATGGTCAAACATGCATGTTATGCTGTAAACTGTTCTGAGTTTAAAATAGTTGTGCAAAACTTAAATAGAAACAACCATAAAATATCTGCCATCAACAAGGATTCTCAAAATATAAAAAAAAAATATTAAGATATAACATAAGACAACCACTGAAAACACAGTGATTCTGACACACATGCATGGTCACAGTGATCCTGACACACATGCATGGTCACAGTGATATCTCTCCTCTGGCCCAAGCCACTACTATTTTCAATGACTTTAATAATTGTTTGAGAACAATGTACTATTGTGATCAAGATATCTCAGACATTGACCAATTGAAAGGCTTACAATGACAGAAACAATTATGGCCATATATATGTTTGTAAAATATATTTTCTCATTTACTGTCATACTGCATAAAAAAAAAATATTACAGAAATTGCAGAATATGGTGCTAGTGGTGACAGTGGGGTAGCTTTTGAGAAAGTTTGAAAGAGTATGCAGTATGTGTTAACTAGTCAAAACATATTTAAATATAGGGCTAAAAATAGTAACAACTGATAAAATGAACCTTTAACTATTGTAGTTTATTATAACCTGATTCTACCCACACTCCATTTATTTAATCAAAGTTCAGACTAATTAATATACCTTTAATAATGCCTCGATAACCTTGATACCAATAGTTGTTAAAGCTTATTGTCAGTTCCTGCCCACAAATGTAACAGCTTATATCAGTTAATTATAAGTGAAAAATAAGCTGAAAACAATTTTAGCTTAGTTTGTGACTGACCGTGTGATTTCTATTTATTCTGATAAATGAGACAGACAAGACTTCATCAACTGTCTGGAAAAACGTCATTTTGCTTCAAAAATACCAATTACATGTACAAATTTACCAATCCTATCTGACTGATTAAACAAAAGTTCATTTCTGCAAACACTTGTAGAACAAGCTCTCAAGAAGTTCTTGTTATTGCTACCCTCTAACATAGAACAAGCTCTTAAGAAGTTCTTGTTATTGCTACCCACTGAGGTAGAACCAGCTCTTAAGAAGTTCTTGTTATTGCTACCCTCTAACGTAGAACAAGCTCTTAAGAAGTTCTTGTTATTGCTACCCTCTAACTTAGAACAAGCTCTTAAGTAGTTTTTGTTATTGCTACCCTCTAATGTAGAACAAGCTCTTAAGAAGTTTTTGTTATTGCTACCCTCTAATGTAGAACAAGCTCTTAAGAAGTTCTTGCTGTTGCTACCTCTAATGTAGAAAAAGCTCTTAAGAAGTTCTTGTTATTGCTGCTCTCTAACGTAGAACAAGCTCTTAAGAAGTTCTTGTTATTGCTACCCTTTAAGGTAGAACCAGCTCTTAAGAAGTTCTTGTTATTGCTACCCTCTAATGTAGAACAAGCTCTGAAGAAGTTCTTGTTATTGCTACCCTCTAACAAAGAACAAGCCTGAAGAAGTTCTTGTTATTGCTACCCTCTAAAAAAGAACAAGCTCTGAAGAAGTTCTTGTTATTGCTACCCTCTAACAAAGAACCAGCTCTTAAGAAGTTCTTGTTATTGCTACCCTCTAATGTAGAATATATTTAAAGTTAATAGAATGAAAACCTGAGAAAAAAATTTCTTTAGAAATTCAAGTAGTGTACAAACATATTGGTTTTATTATAGAATAAAAAATCTAACAGTTCAAATACAGAAAAATATTAAATGAATGACTGAAAACATTAATTCACAATTGTGTGTAGCACATGAGTTAATAATCTGTGTTATTTGGTCACAAGTATAATATTTTTTTATATTTGAGTTCTTGGATAACTTATTCTTTTTATTACATTGACCAAATACTTTTCAATTGAATTAAAATAGAAAATGCAAGGGGCTATATCTTTTTCTATGCATTCTCCATTCTTTTGATACAACATGATGATGTCTTGACCAACATCCATTGTTGTTTGATGACAGAGGACTAAAATTATCAAATTCATTTCACATGTGAAATTATCCCTTTTCATTTTACTGGGAAATCATTGCATTTCCTTGCTACCAATGCAATGTATCAAATTGATTTAATACAACTCTTTTCAAGCTATGGACTTGTCTCAGTTGAATCTAGCAATGGCTGTCACATGACCTCCATAGTTAATTTAATCTGAAATGCAGTAAAACCAAAGTTGGCTTCTTAATTGTACAGATATTATAGAGTGGACTTGAACAAAAGTTCAACCTAGACTTAACATTTTTTTGTACCTAACCAATGATTATGTACATTTTTCGAAAGAATATTTTAGTGATGTTCTAATGACCCTCAAGTGTTAACACTTGCCACTTGAGCAAACATCAATCAATCTCAAGTTTTATAATAGATAGTGGACTGTTAAAGGAATCCATCAAATAATCCAAGTAAACTTTGACAATGAAAAAAATTGTAATGGATATTTGTCTATTTAATAATCCATAGCAAAATTTCAAAATCAATTAAGTTGTAATCAATATTGTTCTGTGGAGAGAATTCATCTATTGATAATCAATAATAAAGTATAATCATAAATAATTGATATAATTTGTAATTTAATGTCACAGGGTAAATGGCCACTTGGTTCTTATTATTAGGGCATGGATTATAGTGATGATAATAAAGTTGAAACACTGAAAATACATAATTGTAATAAACATTTATTTCAAATGTTAACTTGGTTTCCTTTTAATATGAACTGTGAATTGGATAGAAGTACATGCATTATAAGGCCTACAAAAGTAAATGTGCTTACCTGAAAATAGGGAAAAAAGTTATATGTCCCATATGTAGCTCGTGCGTGCTAAAGTGTGAAACTCACATTAGTACGAGTACACTGTATATATAGTACTAGATAAAGTGGCGGGGTTGCATGCATTATAAATTCGTGCAGAGTAGAACATAGACTAAAGTCTTTTTCTAACTGTCTGTCAATGAACGATTGAATGAACTAATGAATGAATGTATGAATGAATGTGTAAATGGTAGTAAACATAGTACACACAACATATAGTATAGTACTAGTATATAGCTGTACTCTTCTGATAAATAGCTACGGTGACACATTCTCAGCCCATGGAGAAAATTTCGTCCCTGAAATTTTATCTCCTAACATGACTAGTTCAAAAGGAAAACATAATGGTAAGTAAAATCATCTGCCATAAGACATTGCAATGACAAATTCTTTACACACACACACACAAACATAATGAATAAAACAAAATAACTTCTGTATGAAGATGATTATCCGAAAATGCAAGAAAAATTACACGAGATCTTGCGGGAAATCAATAAGTTCATTACTGAGCTTAATTGTAGAAACAATATGATCACTCCGTTCCTACACACTTATGTACAAAAGAAGAAGGGTGATAAGATAAAGTGTATGTTTTCTAAGCTAGTGGATGGTGTACATCCATCAGAGGATCTGGGTCGTGGATGGTTTAATTATATGGAAAGAATTATTTCGAAGAATGAGAACTTTGAAAAACCTGTCAGCTTAACTCAGTTCTTCTCCATATTCCGTCAATTAACAGTTTCACAGTTTCATACTTTGAAAAACCTTTATGCTAACTTAAAATGAATGCATCCAAGGTCTAAAATAATTGAAGATGTACTCTTAAAAGGCATATATACTACAAGGTTAATGTACCGTCAACCAAAACTTTAAACTGATAAGGAATGCACATGTACACTGTAAGATTGATTGATTGATTGATTGGTGTTTAATGCCACTTTCAACACTATTGTGCTATTTCGTGGCGGTCAGTTTTTATTGGTGGAGGAAGCCGAATTGCCCGGAGAGAACAACGACCTTCAGTAAGAAATGTACACT